TCAAGTGCATTCTGTTTTTCATGGGCAGTGCTGGGGTTTCAACTCAAGGCACTGTACTTGCTAGGCAAGCACACTGCCACTTAAGGTATGCCTCCAGACCTTGTTTATTCTGGTACTTCGTTCATTCGTTAGATGCTAACAGAGCTGAATCTCAGCGCCTCATCCCCTCATTCAGCTTGCTGCCTTTGTTGGTACTCTAGCACTTGAGCTATGCTTCCAGCCTTCCATTTGTGGGCTAATTGGATAAGGAGTCTTGGGATAGATTTGGATTGTGATCCTCCAAATCTCAAGTCTCCTGAGTAGCTAAGATTACAGCCATGGTGCATGGATGATATGATAAATTTTAGATGACAGATGTTGCTATAGACATGCACTACTAGACATCTTGATGCACTCCAAGCAAAAGAAAGACATACAAAAGAGTGAAGAACTAGGGAAGTTGTACGTGTATAAGCAAATCAAAAGTTAACCTCAACCACTTAAAACCTGAATCATGATTTTTAGGTAGTTTTGTTGTATTTATGATTTGTAATTTAAAGTCCATCTTGTGTCCCTAAGAGGACTTCAGTGAAGATTTATAAGAAACCTTCATTGCTGAGAGACTTGACTTTGTGTGTGCATGCAGGTGAATGCTTTTAGATGTGATGGGTAAACATGACAACATTGGGTTTAAGATAGGTGGATATCAGATTTAACATGGTGGCTAAGTGGCTGAGACATGTTCAGATGGCTTTGTTGTAGTAACTAACTCTTGTGTGAAGACACCGGAAATATTAACGTGGCCTTATTCTTGTATGGATTTTAACAGAGAAGAGTTTCAGTATTAATTATTTTCCCGTTGACTTTAGATAGAATGAGGTCACAAGCTAAAATGGAAAATTCCTCTGACAATATTAAGCGAATCACTCAGAAGAGAATGGCTTCAGCAGTTCACACGACAGGCTAGCCCCAATGTATTCCTTAGAAAATCTAATTTAAACAAATATATCAAATTATTAGAAGGAACCGTTTTTGACTCCTCTGCACTTATGAAAAGAAAAATGACTAAAAGCTGCCAATGGGTCAAGTAGAAGCCAGAAGTTCTGTTGACTCAGAAGGAAATAAAGTCAGAACCCTGCCTGGCTTTTTGAAAGAGACAAACAGACCTTAACCTTCTTAAGGAAAAAATTATCTCTTAGGTCAATAAACATGCTAAAATTAGGTCTCTAAATATATGAGCGTATTTTAGTTTTCCAATGGATCACAAGGCTCAGACCTGATGGAGAGAGAAGTAAATCACCAACTTGGGGGGAAAAAATGTTAGATGAAAACTTTGAAGATAGAGCTGGCATGCTGACACTCCACTACCAATGACATTCAGAGATGGATGTGTTTGGTATTTTTAGTACAATGACAGGCTGAAAATAGATTTATGGTAGTCAGATTATGAAAACAAAGTGGTGTGGGTTTCTTCTGCAGCCGGTAGAGAGCACTGTGTACAACTGTGGAAAGCTGAGCAGGGTGGAGTCGAGCAAAGGCCGAGGAGGTTTTGGGGCAGCTTGGTGGTTCTCTGCCATGCCAACTGTGGTCCACAAAGGTATTTCTCCTCTGCATTGAGGGTGAGCAGAGTTATGTGCTAGAGAAAGATGTATTTGAGAAGGAAGGTAGAAGGGCACATGTTTATAAGGGCAGACTCTGCAAGATGCAATCGCATGCTGAAATCTATTTCAGGAATTGCCAAGCTCCATTTATCAAGCAGGAAAAAAAGTTAGCAACTATAAGCCAGAGACAATGCTTAGAAATTCTCTGTGATTCCTTAACCTTGCAGCTTCTTCTAATATTGATTTTTACTTTTAGAGCTTCGGTTTTGTGCTTACTCTTGTAGCATAACCAACCACTCTTTCTTTGTGCCATTACTTTTTTTTCCCTCTCTTTTCTTCTGTTTTGCTTGTTTGTTTTTGTTTTCTCTGCCAGTCCTGGAGCTTGAATTCAGGCCTGGGTGCTGTCCCTAGCTTTTGTGCTCAAGGACTAATAGCACTCTATCACTTAAATCACAGTTTCACTTCCAGTGGTTAATTGGAGATAAGAGTCTCACAGACTTTTCTACCTGGGCTAGCTTCAAACTGGAATCCCTAGCTCTCAGCCTCCTAAGTAGCCAGGATTACAGGAGTGAGTCCCACCAGCACCCAGAGTGCCATTACGTTTCTGTTTATTTTTCTCTTAGTGTTAATTGATAATGTTTTTATTTCTTCATGCATTTTTGTTATTATATGTACAGAGGAGTTACAGTTATATAAGTCAGATTCGTTTGTTTTTATATGTACACAGGGGTTACAGTTATATAAATCAGATTCTTTTTGAACAATGTCACCCCTTCCCTTGCTCTCTCCCAGCATTTCCCTCCTGTCCTCACCCACAAGTTGTATGTACATTTTCAACATAGTGTGTAGTGAGTGCCACTGCTGCATTTGTTTACACTTAGTCCCACTATTTCTGTGACCTCCCCTTGCCCTCCCAAAGACAAATAAACAAGACAAAAGGAAAAGAGAACAAAAACCGTAACAAACAAACCTCTTGTTTCCATTTCCTGGGTTTATTTCAATAAATATCAGTTTATATGATCAAAGGCACATAGGCATTGTGCCTTTGTGATCCACTCCTAAGATTATCTTCCTTTGGTCTCACTCTGTGTGAATGCCTAGAAACCTGTATCATTTATCATGTCCCAGTATATATTTTTAACCATCCAGTGTGTTTACTTGTAGATTTATAGGCACATTCTAGCTACCACAAATGAGGCAAACCATGCAACCTATGTTTCTTTGTGTCTGGCTTACTTTACTTACTTAATAAAAATTATATTAAGCAAAGTAAGCCATTTCAATGGTAGGGAATCCACGCTCCCTGTTTCTAGGCCTCAGGGAGGAGGACCTAAATGCTGAAGGTAACTGGATATTGGAGCCTAGAGGTCTGAGGTCATTTCCAGATGCCAACTTGAGCACCAACCAGGTTGGCTGGGCTTTGTCACTTGCAGTTGGTGGCCTCCTCAACCTTTCTAGCTTTGCTTTGCAAGTCATGTGAGGTTCCCATTACTGCAGCCTATTGGTTACCAGCCTATCACAAGCAGGGACAAGATAAGAACTCACCACATAGGTGAGTTGGGCTGAGTAGCATAGTCTATTACTAAGTCTAATTGTATGGGAAATCTTCCTCTAGAGGAGGAAAGGGAGGGATCCCTTGGATTTTCAGATCATCAGACCCCATCACAGATGAAGACAATACAGAGGGGTGTTCTAAGCTTATTGAGTGACTTTGAAAGTTAGCACCAGGAAAGCCTGTGTTAGCCAGACACCAGGTATGCACTTCAGTGCACCCAGCACTGCATGTGACATGGTAGAAATGTCTCATGATGTAACTAAAGGCCACTGTGATGCTGTGGAACAGGAAAACACCTGTATTGTTTCTCTAATAGGCTTTTGCTAAGTCATGGTCATGAACTCAGAGAGTCAGTCTTTGGGAAGCTAAAATGCATCTCACTAGCTAGGGGAGTTTGTTTGGCAGGAGCCTAGAAAATTTAGCTAAATTTAATTCAATGCAGGTACACAGAGTAGAACAAGAAAGTTAAGTGGAAATAATACAGAATCCCATGACTATAGGTGGATCGCTGCAAGTGTAGAGTGTGGAATAATCAGGGGATTTATTCAATAACAAGATGACAAAGCTCTTCTCCCTATTCTATGCTGTGAACACATATTTTCTCAGGTCCTTCCTTCCTTCCTTCCTTCCTGCCTTGCTTTCTTCCTGCCTTGCTTCCTTCCTTCCTTCCTTCCTGCCTTGCTTCCTTCCTTCCTTCCTTCCTTCCTTCCTTCCTTCCTTCCTTCCTGCCTTCCTTCCTTCCTTTCTTCTTTCCTTTCTTTTTTCCTTCCTTCCTTCCTTCCTTCCTTCCTTCCTTCCGTCCTTCCTTCCTTCCTGCCTTCCTTCCTTCCTGCCTTCCTGCCTTCCTTTCTTCCTGCCTGCCTGCCTGCCTGCCTTCCTGCCTGCCTGCCTTCCTTTCTTTTTCTTTTATTGGTTCTGAGATTTAAACTCAGGGCTTTGAGCTTGTGTGGTTTGCTTCTTATGTGTGTGCTCTACTTTTTGAGTCACTCCTCTAGCCCTGATCTCAGCCTCCTGAGTAGCTAATAAATTACAGACTGGCACATAGATGAATTCAAAGAAATTGCTAACTCTGCTTTTCTCTTGCTAGTAGGACAGACACATACCTCTTCTAAACCTTTCTTAAACACTCATCAGGCAGGATTTTAAATTTCTCTGTTAGTGGAACTTAAAGAGCTTGCCAGACATTGGACACTGAATGTAGCAGCCAGAACAAGATGCCAACCCATCCAGGAAGGGTGAGCCATTTAGCTGGGCCATGCCTTTGGCAACTCCTGCCTGCACTGGCCACATAACTCTAAATCCATGTCAGAGAGAAAGAATAAAAGGGGTGTGAGGGAAGGAGAAGATAAACTCTACCACCACAGCCTAGCAGGCAGAAGCTTTACCCAGCAGGGTGGAGCCCACTATCACAGGGTTGGCCGATCCCTCCTCCTAAACTTCAACAAGACCTCAGTATATCGGAGATATATCTAACCCATGAAAAATGAACACTGCCTCAATCAAGAACACTGCCTCAATCTCAAGAAAAACATAAACAAGGAATATATATATACACACACATATATGCATATACAATGTATGTAACATACATACACACATATATAATGCCTACAAACTGAAAATATATGTTAAATATTGTATGGGTACATATTATTTATATATATTATGTAAGCTTTACAAACTGAAAAAAGATTCTCTAATGGTTCAAACAACAAATTTTACATGAAAACCAAGAAAATACATTACCACCATCTTGTGGACACATGCAGAAATGCATCATAATCCACTTAGGCTGTCCCCCAAGCCCCAGGCTCTTTTCTTCATGCAGTGTCCTTGACTTTCACTCCAGCCATCCTCCCTCTTACCATGCATTTGTCCCAAAGCTTGGGTGATGTCCAGAATGGATAGTCTCAGTTGCTGCAAGGCATGGATCAGGGCATCTTGGTTGGACTGTAGGAGGGCATTCACTGCCTGAGCAAGGGCCTGGAACAAGAGTCATTTTCCCAGTTGACTGCTGAGCTGAGGCCCCCAAGCACCGATAAACTGAAACTTAACGTCTCTCTGATGGCCTGCACCATCCTGGTGCTATCCAGACAACATGGTGCCCAGATGTTCTGGATCCTTCTACTTACTGCTACTTGTTCTACCTCTGAAGGGCCTGAGCTCTCAATTTTCTTCCTTCTTTTCCTAGGTTATTGTATGTTGTAATTTCTATTTCTGCATCTTCAACTATGGTATACTCACTTGTTCCCAAACTCATTTTATTGGTACTGTGATCAGAATCCAGAGCCTGGCTGTATGTCTGAGCCATGCCCAGATCCTCCATGCTCTGTCTCACACAGCACCAGATAGCTCCTAAAGATGCCACTGCTTCACAAGATCTCTGTCACAAAACCTGCTTTGTCTTACATTGGTTCCTTAAGAAGCAATGAGACTATGCAGAAGGGGAAGATAAAATTCTGATTTTCCAATGAGAACTAAAGTGGCAACATGATTAACCATTTTTCATGTTTTGTTGTTCGCTTGCTTAGAAATTAACCCATAGCCTTACACATGCTAATCATGTGCTCTAGTTCAGAGCTGTACCTCCAGATATGTGTGCATGTGTGCCAATATTGGGGCTTGTATTTGGGGCCTCACACAGTCCTCCTTCATTGTGGCTCACAAATGGTATTCTATCTGAGACACACTTCTTGTCCAGCTTTCTTTACTAATTGGAGATGGAATGTTATGGACTTTCCTGCCCAAACTGGCTTTGAACTACAACCATCAGATCACAGCCTCCTGAATAGCTAAAACTACAGGTGTGAGCTACAGTTGGGCCTTCGCCAGCATCTGGCCTCCCCTGACTTCTGAGAGTGGACCAAGGGGCTGTAGTAATGACACCAGGGTTGCTCCCTGCTGAGAACATGGCAGACATTCTGTATCTGCTCACCAAAGAAGGTTTGCAAGAAGGGATAAATCTAACTAAACCTTACATCTAGACAATGCAAAAACAGCTTTGTGTGTCTCACATGGAGCTTTTCTTGTACCTGTCTGACCCCTGAAAAATTCAAGTGTGCAAACTCCAGGAACAGGTCAGGTCATCATTAATGCCTCTCCTAGTTAAAGCCTTTTCTTTCCCACCTCCTTTGCTTCGCTCATCTCTTCTCTGAGTTGTCATTTCCCTGGGGACATTTTGTCTGACTCTTCAAGTCTATCTTTTCATGAACCCCTGGATGTTCCTCCTTTGCTCCCTGTCTTTATCCATCTTCCTGCATTTGCTCATGTGCTGCTAAGGCTGGGATTGTTTCTGCCTTGTGCACACTGATTTCTGTTCCTAGAACAGTGCCTGTGTTGCTGATGAAGCCAGGGTTCGCCCCTAGTCTTATAGCAAGTTGAGAAAAATGGAGCTCACATTGCGGGCTGGAATTCAGAGTTTTTCCCTCAGATTTGAACAAAGTAGCACCAGGCCTGCATTCACCTATGCTGAAGCAGGGAAGGGAGAGGAGGGGAGGGGAGGAGAGGGAAGAGGAAAGGAGGAGAGGGAAAAGGAGGGGAGGGCAGATCATAATGACATTTTACTTAAGACAAAAAGACGGTCATGGAGTGAGAAGAGACCTTAATTCCAGGTGCTGCAGCCTTCTCCACCAAAACCGTCACCAGGACGAAGCCCTTCAGGCTCTGGCCCCCCGGAAATGAGATGATGGTCTCCAGATTACTTGGGAAGGAGGAGGTCACATGGTTAGAGGTGTAGAGACTAGGCTGTGAGCACTCACTGCCCATTGGCTAGGTATGGTGGTTCATGTCTGTTATTCCAGCACTCAGTGGGCTGAGGCAGAAGATAGAGAGTTCCAGACCAGGTAGGGCTATAGCCCTATAGCTGGTTATATATAACCAGCCTCTGTCTCTAAACAAAACAAAATATACAAAGCAGTATTGGCTGGAGTTGGGTAACTACTCCTGAGCTGGTCCTGTGACTAAGTAGCTGTGTGACCTCAAACAGGCTGTTTAGCTGCCTGTTTAAACAAGTGAAGGTCCAGTCAGGGGCAACTTCCTGTTCAGGAGACGTCCAGAGGCTGGCCTCCAGCAGCACTTAGGAGCAGAGAGAATACACTGATTCACGTCCAAGTTCACCTGAGCTGAGGACTGAGAGTTTAGCTCAGCCCTGAAGGCCCTACAGCAGCACCCTGGGGTGAGGACCACCTGAAACATGGTGGGCAATGGTTAGCAAGAGGCAGTGTGGATTCTTCAAGATCCCTCCATTCTTGTCCAGAGTCACAAGCCACAGAGGTGGAGCAATGAAGCCTAAGTAATGTATTTCTTTCAAAGATATTGAAGTATAGCTCAGAGCAGCTAAACAGTCTGTTTGAGGTCACATAGTTACTTAGCCCTAGCTGGTCTGGAACTCTCCTGCCTCGGCCAACTGAGTGCTGGAATAACAGATATGAACCACCACACCTAGCCAATGCTTCCTTTCTTTCCTTTCCTTTCCTTTCCTTTCCTTTCCTTTCCTTTCTTCCTCTCTTTCTTTCTTTCCTTCCTTTCTTTTTTTCTTCTGCTACTGAGGCTTAAATTCAAGGCCTCACACTTACTCAGCTTGCTTGTGAGTACACTACCACTTGAACCAGGGGTCCAAGCCTAGCTTTCTGCTAATTATTTTGGGGAAGGAATTTCACAGACTTTTCTACCCAGCTTGGTCTCAACCCACAATCCTCCATGTTTCAGCCTGCTGAGCAGCTAGGATTAGCAATGTAAGCCATCAGCACCTGCCTCCCCCATTTATTCTGAGATGAAATACGGTCTAATGGAGTGCAAAAAGATTATTATAAAGAGTGGAAGAGTATTATGAAAGGCAATGTTTTTTAATGCCCTGCTGCTCTTTAAATGGTTTTGAATATCTCAGATACAGATCCAGTCTACCAAACATAAAAAGTAAACCCGGCAATTCTTTTCTCATCTTAAGCCTAAGAAAAAATGGAGAAATAAACTCAAAGAGAACAAGGCAAGAACTAAGTCATGGATTCCATTGCTTCCCGCACAAGTCATTTAGCCTGGGAAGTGAAGTTTTCCCCTTCTACCTGCCCAACTTCCGAGCCTTGGCTTTGACACTGGACCCCTTCAGCGCAGCCTGAGATTTGGTGTCAGGAGAAACAATGGTGACTTACAGGCCACCTTCTGTCCAAGGAAGGTGGAGCCTAAGAATGCCTGGACCAGCGCTGCACCGTACACCTTCCACATCAATACAACATGCTGTGGGTCTGAAACACAACCTGCCCTTTCATGCCTACTACAGAGAAATGAGAAATCTTTTGCACACCATCAGGTTTCAAAGAGCCCATACATCGAGGGAACATGTTGGGTCCTTGTATTACACTGTGCTTCATTATGCACAGATTGGAAAATGCAGTAAAGAAAATTTTAAATAGCCCCTCATCTCCCAAGGGAGTGTAACTATTAGCCTGTTCAATGTGGAACCCATTTCCTTCTTGTATTTTTTGTTTTTTGTGTGTATGTAGGTGCATACTATATTTGTGTAGGTACATACTATACATGCAACTTAGTACTCCTTCTTTTGGTCTTTCTGTAACTTTTTAAAGTTAGCATGGGTTTTAAAAAAGAGTAAACATTTCATTTCTAACAACTTACCTGATTTCCATGGGTCTTCTCAATGTTCAGTTATTGGCAACCACAAAGAAAAGAAAATGAGAAGTTTGGTTTGTAAAACAATATACCTTCTGGGGCCACACATTTGCACACTATTGTGCAATGCACATATAGACACAGACATGCACATGCATCTTAGCAGTCACAGGGTATGACTGGGCCACTGGGAGATAAAGAATGAGCAAATCCCACTCACTGCTCAGCCCAGAGCACATGGACTCTCTGTATAAGTGATTTTGTTCCTCTCATTCTTCAATATTTACCAAGAACCTACTGTTTTCTCTACTCATGGATGTTTGGGTGAGTATTTCAACATGGTGGGAGGGCTTTGCTTACATTTCTTTTCTTTTTGTTTTACTTGTGCCAGTCTTGAGGTATGAACTCAGGGCCTGGGTGTTGTTCCTGAGCTTTTTTGTTCAAGGTTAGTGCTCTACCATTTGAGCCACAGCTCCATTTCTGGCTTTTTGGGTGGTTAATTGCAAATAAGAGTCTCAAGGACTTTCCAGAACAGGCTGGCTTTGAAACATGATCCTCAGATCTCAGCCTCTTGAGTAATGAGGGTCTTTTGTTTTTCATAGCACGTACTCTAAGTGGTAGGCATCTTCAGATTCCAAGAACTGATTACCCAGAAGGACTGGGGGCCCAGGACTGAATCTGCGCCCTAGGCTGCAAACTCTCAACTCTCATGTCCTAAAACACTGGATTGCTATTCCAACTTTTCCTTGCCCATCCCAGCCACTTTCCCTCCAACTTTCCCACATTCTCCCTATTCCTGTGAGTTATAAATTCAACATTCAATGCACTGACCACAAAAATTCATGCATGTAAGCTTATTATTTGATCCCACCCAAATGCTAAGCCACATGTAATAGCTGTCAATATTTGATATTTTTATTGAAGCATAATTGGTCAAAGTGCATGATTAATAACTATAGAACACATCAAATCCCAAGGCTTATGCAATATTGCATTCTCTCCCAGAGGTATAGAAGTTAGCCCCAAAAGCTAAGCTATACTTATTTGAAATTCCTTTGTAATAGTTTCCAATAATCTACTCAGCACCCCTGGCTACCCATAGCCATTCCTCAGAGAAAGTTCTCTTTCAAATCCAACCTCAATACCTCTATGATGTTTTAATTGCTGAAAGAAAAATGCCATAAATACAGTTGGGAATTTTGCTGTGAATATGAAGTTCAAAAAAATGTAATACTTGCAATTCTTCCACATCATTCTGATGACCGGATTTCTTGATGGTTAAAAACTCATGGTAGAAGCATGATTATAATCAAGAAGTACTGTACACATAATTGGACTTGTTAAAAACAAAATCCCCTCATAAAACTACTTGATAAAAAGTTAAACTAAACATTTACTTTTTTTTAAAATACCTCATGCTAAGCCAGGTGCCAGTGGCTCATATCTGTAACTCTAGCTACCTAAGAGACTAAGATCTGGATCAACAAGGTTCAAAGCCAGTTTGGGGGGGAAAAAAAGTCGATGAAACTCCATCTCTGAAATAACCAGCAGAAAGTTGGGTTCAAGTGGTAGAGCACCAGCCAAGCAGTTGCAAGGCCCTGAGCTCAAGCCACATTCTTACAAAATAAGACAAAACAAAACAACAACAAAACCCATGAAAACAAAACAATCCCATGTCATTTCAATAGACAATGCTTCTACAACCAGCACCATTATCAAAAAATACTGGAAGCCAAGTGGGAACGATCATATTGCTAGTCAAATTCTCAATCCAGCATACTTGAACTCCCACTCACAAATCATAACCATCCACTGAGTTCTAACTGGACTTGAATGGATGAGAAAGAATAAATGAGATATGACTACAGTGGAGCTTGATGATTCAGTGGAGGAATCCAAAGGGATGAGGAAGCAGCAAGCAACAGTGATCCAACCCCATGTACACTGAATGGATGGAGAAGGTACTCTGCGACTGAGAATGCTGGATGCATGATCTACTTCACCATTCCTGCAGAATCATAAGCCATGTGATATGTATGAACTTTCCTAATTACTTCCCTGGTTGGAAGAGCCAGGATCACAAGACTGTCATACTGAATTCCAATCTGTTAAAATTTGAAGCATTTCCCCTCTTCCTTACCCTTCTGAGTTCCTTTTGGTCCAGTTCGTCAGCACTAAATCGGCATGGACCAGGATAGGAGGCAGCCCCAAAGTCCTGGAGACTTCCACAAATGGAAGGGCAAGATTTCTTGGCAGAACCTTTTACATAGGAATCCAGATGATTAGCATATTTGAGATTGGACATGACCCAGGAAATTACTTCAGCTGTGATAGAGACCCACCCTGAGGAATAAGTATGAATCACTCAAATCTATACACTTCACACAGCTTTTTGTGAACAACAGTCCATGGAACACACAGCAATATACATGGAAATTACATAGCTGGAACACTCATGTGTGCACATCAATAGTTTCAAAACTGATCAAAGAGTGAAATGGCCATCAGTCTAAAAGAAAATTAGTGTGTGTGGGGTGGGGGGAATCCCTTCATTTCAGTGAGCTTTTCACCTCCCCTTCAACTAACAGATGGGAAGGAAAACAAGGCAGCACCTATTCAACAGCCTAGCACTGAGCAGGGTGTGGTGTTCCAGAAAGAGCAAAACTGGGGGATTACAGGACAGGTCCTGGTGCCCCTTACCTCTTTGGGCTGAGTCTCTCCTTCCTGCCAGACATACCCCATGGTGATGGCACTAAGAACCAAGTGGGCCAAGCGTTGTTCCTCGTAGCTCTTTAGGAACTGAACATCTAGGAGGGGCATCTGTAGAAGAGAACCGTCAACGTTAGCACCTCAAAGGGTGCTACCACGACCAAGGGTGTGTGACTTGAAGGAGCTTTCGGGTGTAAGGAGCTGGTTATAATTCAATGCAGGGGCCAAGTCTGCATGTGTCATGCATCCCAGATCCTGGGGCACTGTGGTGACATAGTACAATCCTGTCAAGCACTTGTCCCCAACACAGAAACTACTGTTGGGTTAAAGTGTTGAGAATCAATTAGCTCCCAGGGAGACAATTTATTTCATAGAGTCTCCCTGTTTATCAAAGCTTTCTGCTTGCTTAGTATCATCCAACCCTAAATCAGCCTTGAATGCAGTTCCAATGGAGTTAGAAATCTGACTGCACTTGCCACAGAGAAATAGCTATGCTGAGCCAAATGGTTCTTCAGTCCTTGTTTGAAAACTCCCAGAAACTGTAGCCAGATCTTCATGCCCTCCCCTTTCTTCAAGGCATCACTGTGACACTAACGTGTAGTGTCAGCTTTGAAAGCAGCATCCTGTCCTGAAGTTAGGCATTGGTGACAGCCCTGCCAAAACAAATGCCACCATGCATCCTGTGCCTGTGGTGAGCTCCCCTGCCCTTCCTTCCCAGGCCCCAGACACTACTGCCTGATCTTGGGGGTCCTAAGCCCCTGTCCTGAGCCCCACCACAGAAGGGGCTGGGGTGGTTTGAGTTTCTTTGGAGGTTAAGGAATAGTGTCTTGTTGGGCTCTGTGTCAGGAGTCCTGCTTTTTTGAGTCATATTTTCAAAGAAAGAAAAAAAAGGAAGGAAAAGAAAAGAGAAAAGAAAAGGGAGGGAGGGAAGAGAGGGAGGAGAGAGAAGGAAGGAAGGGAAGGGAGGGAGGAAATGGAGGGAGGAAAGGGAGGGGAGGAATGGAGGGAGGGAGGGAGGAAGGAAGGAAGGAAGGAAGGAAGGAAGGAAGGAAGGAAGGAAGGAAGGAAGGAAGGAAATGATACTCATTTTTATGATGTACTTTACTTTGCCCCAGCCAAGTGTCCAATGCTGAGCAAGCAAGGATTTAGTTATCCCCAGGGAGCCAGGGTGAAGGAATAAAATCCAAGGTGGTCTATTCTGGCTGTTATAAGGAAATGGGGCACATTCCAGAGCCCTGACCGCCCCCACAAACAATATACAATCATAAAATTCAATAGGGTGGAGGTTAAAGGGATAAGGTCAGAAGGGAAGGGAGTAGAGAAAAAGAAGAAGCAGGCGTTAAGGGAGAGAAGAGAGATGGAGAGGGAGGAGAGAAGGAAAGAAAGAAGGAGAGAGAAGCAGCAGGAGCAGGAAGGAGGGGAAGAAGGGTAGGGGAAGAGGAGTGGATGTCTAAATTGAAGCCTTTTGTTCCCTCATACAAAAACAAGGGGAAGCGGTTGGGGAGAGAATGAGAATTCAAAGGTTTTTACTTGAATCATATTTTTATTTCATTATAAATGGAAACTATGTGCTTCCCAGAAATAGGTTAGGTTGATTTCACTCGTAATTGTCATTCTGTTCTTCTCACAACAGTGAGCTGAGGTAGTTTCGATTGTGTCAGTGTGTGTTGTATTCTCTCCATGCTGATAGGAAGGTAGGCTGGATGAAGGGCCTTTACTGCAAGGCTGGAGCAAGGGCATGCTTTACTCCTCTTGGCCAGCGTTTGCTTATGGATAGCTGCTTCTTTATTTAGAAGGTGAGGTTGCGCCAGTACCTCGTCTGGAACTCAAGAGCTGTTGTTGGGACCCCATCTTAATGTTAGGACCCAGTGAGCATACGTGACTCCACCCTGGTTAAACAGCCATTTTGTTGTTTACAAATCTAGGAAAAATGTGGTTTACAAGTCTCTGATAACAGAGCCTAGAGAACAAAAGACCAGAGGCGAGATGGACACGTCCAATCAGTAAAGAGCACATATGTAATGCAAGCCCTGCCTTTTGCACCCCAAACCCACATGCCAAAACTGACCAAAGTGGAAGGCTAGTTTAAGCAACTGCTTAGGGACGAGTTGTAACCTCCTTGGTTACCTGGGTGTGGCTCCACCTAACCGTACAATTTTGTGCGACTGTTGCAACACTCTTGGCTAAACTGCATGGCCTGTTCCCTATAAAAGCCTGTGCAGCTGGGCGGGGTCGCTCTCTGCCCAGGTGGCTCTGACCGCTCAGTCTGTTTCTAGATGCTTGGCACAATATAGCTTCATCTGACTTTCGCTTTGTTTCAATCTCGATCCTTTGATCACGGACTCCAATATTGGAGAGGGCACCCTAATATCTTGGGGGCTCATCCAGTATCAAACGATGAGGACTAAGCCAGCATCAGAATTTCTGAGAAAAACCTCCGGAGGTAGGAGGGGGTTCGAGTCCCCCCTACTGTTCCTGCGTTTGTGGAGCTCCAGGGGAGGCCCACCGGGAAGAAACTGGACGCAGTATTGCTCCCCAGGACTGGAGTGGATGCTAAGACGTCCCATCCCTCCATCTGTAGGTCGCCAGGAAGGGGTTCGAGTCCCCCGGGGCAGTTAGGGGACCAAGGGGGTTAGAGTCCCCCAAGGCCCCACCAGTGGGATTACATCTTGATTGTTCTTGGGCTTAATTTTCTGCTGAGAGGGTTGGGCTTAATTTTCTGCTGAGGAGAGGGAGCCGCTGGGTCTGCAGTTGTCTCTGTCTTGTTTTTGTGGTGTCTGCTACGTTGTTTGTCATGTTCGAGGAAATAGGGCAGAAAGGTAGTAAGGGATCTGAGACACCTCTAGGTCTTGTTCTTCAACACCTGTAGCTTTTTCCTCTCACAGCTAGCAAGCTACTACATGAGCCACACCTCCATTCTGCTTGTATGGTGGTTGGAGTTAAGAGTCTCACAGACTTTTCCGCCCTGAGTGCTTTCTAATTGCCATCCTGATCCTCACATACCAGCCTCCTGAGTAGCTAAGACTACAGGTGTGCGCCACCAGGGCCTGATTGCTTCTTTTACTCACCAGCTCTGTTTTAGGCGATAACCATAATGCATTTAGCCTTTTCCATGAGCAGAACTGACTCTTCGATTACATTGAGCTTCTGTACAACGGTGCCTTAGACAAGTATTTTTTTGTGTAGGTGTCAGTTAAGGGGATTGAACTCTGAGTCTCAAGTTTGTCTTTTTTGCTCAAAACTAGTGCTCTACCACTTGAGCCACACCTCCACTTCCAGCTTATGGTTGGCTAATTGGAGATGAGTCCTTTTTGTCTGCCTAGACTGTGTTCAAGCCGATTCTCAGATCTCAGCCTCCTGAGATCAGCTAGGATTATAGGCATGAGCCACCAGCAACTGGCTATAGTGTTATTACTAACACTTATTTTCCACGATGAATAAAAGTATTAATCTTATTTTGTTTATTCTTTAGCTAGTTTGTTCGGAATTGTTCATAACTCTGGGAACATAAGCACATACTTATTCTTCCCTGTGACAGTGCACTGAAAACTGATTCATTAGTGCAAATGAGAGTCTACTAAAAAATGAAATACTGATTGGTCTACCAATCAAAGCAGTAGTTTCTTTGATTGATGCTAAGTTAATCTGACAGCATCTTAACTTGCCCCAACACATGTAGTTTTTCCTGATAGAGCTAAAACACTGTGCGAGGAGTAGAAAGATTTCTTTAGAATCTACAGCTTAATTCAGGGGAACTTGGCTATACCATACCTTCCCACTGACCATTTTGAAGGGAATCTCATAGTTTTTTCCATAATAGAAATATTTTATGATGCATACCCAGTGCCACACACTTGTAATCCTATCTACTCAGGAGGCTGACACCTAGAAGATGGAGGTTCAAAGCCAGCCTGTGGACCAAAAGTCCACAAGACTCCATCTTCACTTAACTAGAGAAAAGTTGGGCCTGAGGCAAGGCTCAAGTGGTAGTATCAGTTGTGACCATGAAAGCAAAGAGAAAGCACAAGCCCTGAGTTGAAGCCTCAGATCCACCTCCCCCAAATTTATATCACATACATGTAAATTAAAAATACATAATCACTATAGGAATAGATACAGAGAAATAACTTAAACCCTGCTTAAGAAGTAGAGTTTGGCCGACACCACCCCAGCCCTCTACCTGCCTCTTACTTGTAGCATTGACCTATGTGTTCATGAAGAATGCTTATCTGCTGAATATTCTTCTTATTTCTAGCTGCTCATATATTATACAAAATACATATGATCATCTAGTTGGAATGTCTTTGAACTTAATAGAATCCTACTGAATAAATTCTATGATTTGCTCTTCTTATTTAACATTTTGATTTTGAAATTCCTCTGTATAATTGCATACAGCTACAAGTCATACATTTTCACAGTTCTTCCATGGAGTTTTTTTTTCTTACTGTGATTAATAATATGTTACATCTCTCAAGGTATGCTCATAAACAAGGGAATTCTTAGATAATAGGGAAATATATCTTCAGAATTTCTAGATAATAGTAAAATAGTTACTGAAAGGAGTGGACCCACTTGTGAGGCATAAGATAGTCAGGTACCTATTTTACCCTAATGCCTAGTAAGGTAAAATTTCAAACATTTCCTAATTGTGTGGTTTCAAAATGTTACTCCTGTGTAGATTTAATTTTCATTTGGCTAGTTCAGAAGTATCTTTCATATATCTTTTGGTCATTTATGTTTTCTATCCTCCCAAATTCTGTTAATGGCTAATTGAACACTGCTCTGTGTGTGTGTGTGTGTGTGTGTGTGTGTGTGTGTTTCTAGAACCCAAGACCTTACACAGTATGGACAAGTATCTACCACTGAGCTAAACACTCAGCCTTGATTGTCTTTCTTGTTGATTTCTAGGATACAAATAATATTTTTTCACTTACATATATAACATCTTCTATTCCTGGTTTGTTTTTCATGCTCTTTTATCTGAGTTTAATAAACAGAGGTTCTACTTTACTGATAACAAGTTTACTTTAAAACCCCTAGTTATATGTGTATTAGGCAACTCTTCATTCCCAGGCTACTAACTAATTCAGTACCACAGGTTAATTCCAGCTTCCTTCCCTCCTTGTTAATCTGTAACTTCCCTCTCTCATGATGAAACACCATCCACAATCCATTTACCTATTTCTTCACCCAAAGTATACAGGAAAAGCAAATTTACAATTGTTAGCCTGTACTTCATGAAAGACAAAATCTGCCCACTAGAGGACAGTAATGGTATGTAGTTCATTTTTTCTTTTGCCTTTGGCTTTTCAGTCAAATGCTATTTTCCAAAATGTCCAAGGTCAACTCCCATTTCCCTGCTGTCTTCACTGAGAATTTACCACCCATCTCTCATCCTCTGAGACTCATTTGACATAGTCCACATTCCATCCAGGGTTCTCCTCAAATTGTCAGTTATTTTTTAATTACATATATGAAAATTCATACTTTATGAAATATATGAGCTTTCATTAGAGTCATATACTGACCCTCTGAGGAACACACACACACACACACACACACAGACACACACACACACACACAGACACACACACACAGTTTTCAGCCCTGATATATCTCTTTAAATCTCTTTGTAGCAAACCCCCTGTCCTGGCCAATCTTGCCAACTGCTAATCTGTTTTCTGTGCTTATTGGTATTTTTGTCTTTTCCAGAATGTCATGTGTAGAATCATACAGTATATAGCATTGGGGATCTGGCATATTTCATTTAAATCCTAAATATATGTTTAGTCATTCTGTTACATAACTCAGCAAATAACTCATTTTCTCTTGACACTGTGTAATATTCCATCGTACATTCTATTATACAAGATGACTTTAACTCAGTTTATTCATTCTGTTGAGAAAAACCTTGATTGCTTCAGATCTTTTGTGTTTGTATGCTTCTAAATAAAGCTCTATTAAGTTCACATATAGGATTTTCTGTGAGCATAAAGTTTTAATTTTCCTGGATATATATGTGCGTGTGTGTGTGTGTGTGTGTGTGTGTGTGTGTGTGTGTGTGTGTGTGAATTTTTATCGCTAAGTGATAGAACTGCGCTAAGTCTATGTTTCACTTCACAAAAATTTGCCAAGCTATCTTCCTAAGTGGCTCTTATCTTTGCGTTCTTTTATTTAAATTTATTTATTTAGTCAGTTGTGGGGGATGAATTCTGGGCCTGGGCACTGTCCCTCACCTCTTCAGCTCAAGGCTAGTGCCCTACCACTTGAGCCACAACACCACTTCCCCTTTTTTCTGCTTATGTGGTGCTGAGGAATCGAACCCAGGGCATCATGCATGCAATGCAAGCACTCTACCACTGAGCCAACTTCCCAGCCCTCTTTCTATTTTTCTTTTAAGCAGGTTAGTAGAGCTTGATTTTAGGGCCTGGACACTGTCCCTGAACTTCTTTTGCTTGAAGCTAGTGCTCCACCAATTTCAGGTATAGCCCCACTTCACCTTTTTGAGTGGTTAATTGGAGATAAAAGTCTCACAGACTTTTCTGTACTGCCGGGGCTAGCTTTGAACCATAATCCTCAGATCTCAGCCTCCTGAGTAGCTTGGATTACAGGCATGAACCAACAGCTCCTGACTTTCCCTTTACATTCTTATCAGCTATGACTATAAAAATTTCCATTGTCACATATCCTGTCCAGAAGTTTTTGTTTCTCTTTTATTTTGTTTGGCGCAGAATCTCACTGTTTAGACAAGGCTGTCCTTGAACTAATGCTTTTCCTGCCTCAGTTTCCTGAGTGCTGGGATTCAGCAGCCATTCAAGTAGCTACTAAATTCTCCTTTGATATATAGAGAGTCCTATGTGGTTTTTCAGTTACTAAACTACTTTTCATTTTTGTTGTTTCTTGTCTATAATTTGTAGAATTTTCTTACTATGAAAAGAGGTTTGAAATTTCACCAATTTATTAATATATATCTCTCACCAACTTCCAAATTTTCTCTATCAAATGTTTCACTTGGAAAAAATTATATTAAGTGAAGTAAGCCAGGCCTAAAGAAACATAGGTCCCATGGTTTCCCTTATTTGCAATAACTAGTATATGTCTGAGTCAACCAGAAAAGATCAGATATATTGATGTTAGGGGAATGAACCCCAAGATAAGTATTCAAATATTTTTTTTCCTTTCATGCAATTGTTTCTAACATATTTACGAGATGATTCCTATGTTGCTTTGTATGTCCCTCCCCCACCATATAACCCATGCTTTCACTGTTTGTATAATTTGTGGAGGGAAGGGAAAAAACAAATCGTTTAATTAGGGATACAGGTGGACCCATTGCAACAATGAGACGTACAAGTTGTTATGTCAAAAAACAAACTTTACAACTTTAGTGGGGGGGGAGAGGTTCAGCTGGGGGGAGGGAGGAGTATGAGAAGGAATGGGGAGACAAAGAGGAAGCAACAATACTTGATAGGAAATGTACTCATATCTTGCCCATGTAATTGTAACTCCTCTGTACGGTATTCTCACAATACAAAAAAATCAAATGTTTCTTAAGACTTGAAATTTTCATTTTTTTAGCTGTTAGAAATTTCACTTTTCCTCCTCTTGTATTAACTTTCTTGTGGGATTTCTGTTACATGAACCAAGAATATCTCCATTTCTATTTTTTGTATTCACTTTCTTAATAGTTTTTATTTCTTTGATTTTGTGATTTGTATGTTATGACATTTTTACATATATGAATTTATTGGGCTTATAGTGTTTTGTGTTATTTTTTGTATTTCTAATAGTTCCTTTTGCATATGACCTTTTGTTCAACTTGTGAACACAAGATAATGGAAACTAATATTTTAGAAAGACTAACTTGTCCTTATTTATTTCCTGGAGGCCATGGCCTCTGAAGTCCCTGTTGGCCACATTCATCTTTTCAAAAAAAAGAAAAGAAAAGAAAAGCTAAGGGACAGCACCGAGTTCAAGCCCCACTACTAACATCAAAAAAAGATAAGTAGTGCTATTTAGTTAGGTATTTTTCTAAGTAAATTGAGGAGATAGTGAAAGTTACCTATTATTAATAAGTGACTTTCTCAGTTATAGAAAATAGTCCAAACATAGACTATCAGATGAGCTAATTTCTTCTGGCACAGAGGGAGACACCACCCCAAGCATCTATTCCAGCATCTGGTGGTTGTCAGTATATATTAGAATGGAGATGCACCACTCCAGTGTCTGCTTCTATGTTCAGATAGCATTTCTCCTAGTTACAAATGGCACTATGTCCACATTTCTCTATTTTATAAAGACACCAGTCAAATCTGATTTAGAGAGTACCATGACCTCATCTTAACTTGATTAGATCTACAAACAACTGGTTTCCTAATAAAGTAAATTTCGTTAATTCTACATGGACATAGACTCCAGGGAGACCCTTTAGAACCTAGTTCAACTTTTAAAAGATTGATGGGAAAAATAAATGATTGATATCAAGGCTGTACAGTAAGGAACTCCATTTGAACAAGCCCTCAATTTTTGTCTGTATATGCCAGTCCTGGGGCTTGAACTAGGGTTTGGGTTCTATCCCTAAGCTTTAGTGCTAAAGTCCGGGGCTCTACCACTTGAGCCATAGCTCCACTTGTAGCTTTTTGGTGGTTAATTGGAGATAAGAGTCTCACAGTCTTTCCTGCCCATGCTGGTTTCATATGTGATTCTCAGATCCTAGTCTCTAGTTTGTCTTATGGGCAAGTGCCAGCAACATCTGGCTGAAATCTCTGATTTCAGGATCAGGAAAGAGTCATTTCTCCCTTTAGGAAGGATGAGAGAAAAGTGTTGACAAGCCCAGTAGCTATGATGGGAGTGTCACATGAAAACCAGATGGTGATAAACAAAGAGAAGATCCCAAAGAGTAGAAAGGATATACCTTGTTCACATGAGCACGAAGCTGATGATTCTGAATCAAATGAGGGAGGTTGCTGGCAATTTCCATCCAAGGCCTGTAATGATCCGGAAGCTCTTTCTGCATTAAATAGAGAAACATCTCTGGATTTTAGACCTGTCTGGCAAGTACCTAAGGAAGTAATTCCTTTCATATTCCAGTTTTCAAGTGAATTCAATTAATTCAGTTCACCAAACACTGAGAAATGAAATCAAGTACATTAGACCTTCCATTAGTGCAGATACCTAAGTGATAGGAATGCAGTTCTTATACATACAGGATCCAGTTAGGGAGAAAACAATGTGCTCAAAGAGCTTCTAATGTGTAAGAAGCAACTTTAAAAATGCTTTTGCAGGGCCCTGTGAATTAACTAACTTTGCATCTGTGCCTTCTGCCTTAATTATTCTCTGCTATTGTCCCTATGCAATCACCTTGGGACCCAAGAACAAAAAGATTCACTGGATAATCCTCTTGAGAGGAAGGCAAACTCAGGAGATCACCTCTTAGTAATAAAGAAACAATTTTCCAGAACTCTCAGAACAAAGGCTGAGCCAACATCGACTATGACCACACTTAGGATTTGGGACTGTTTATAATTATGTAGACCTTTCTCATCCCCTCTCCCTGTTGAACTTGAAACCAGTGTTTGTACATGGGAAGATGGCTGGGCTGAAGATGTAGTGTGGTCTTCCCATGGCTGCCATGTAATAAATCTTCTTTCTCTGTTTTTCACTGTGTCTTTTTATATAGGAGTAAGTAGCTGCACCTAAGTTGGGTCTAGTGAATTTTGGGCCTGGAACTATAAACTCAGTTTCAAATGCAGCATACTATGTTTAGTTACACATAAGGATTTCTAAGGAAGTAGACATAGTTAATTCTGTTAACTGCTTGGGGGAATGAAAGAGAATTGTTCACAGAAACATAAGTGTTGAGCCTGTTTTTGGAGGGTGTAGGTAGGTGGCATTTCTAGGTATAAAGTTGAATAAAGGAAATTAATAAAGGCAGAAGGAAGAGCAGATAAACAGATATCTGTGCTTTGAGGGATCACAAACTACTCAATAATGCTAAAGTACAAAGTTAAAGAGACAAGATTAATGGAAGATGACCTAAAAAGTTTGATTAATATGTTATATGTAGATAATACAAGAGTGTATCCTTTATACAAGTGGATATTACAATTTGGTTTTAATTTTAGAAAGACAGTTTTGTTTGTAGGATTCTTATCATGTGGAGTTAGATTAGGAAGCCTTTGAAATACTCTTCAATACTCATTGCTTAAGCAATGGCAGTGGGTTTGGAAAGGAAGGACTATCTCTAGAGAGCAAAGACCAGGTCTACAAGAAATATTTGGAAAGTAAAGTTAAAGTAATGTGATGATTACATTTGGAGAGTAGAGGCTGAAGGCAAGAAGGTTGCAAGCCCAACGGCACCATGTCCATGCACCATGACCTATGACACTCAGACCATGCTTTACCAAGGAGAACAGAGCCTGGACTTCAGGACCCCAACTCTAACCCAGCAGATAGCTAACTTTTTTTTCCCTTTTTCCTTTTTTTTTCCTGGTACTAGGGCTTGAGCTCAGGGCTTCGGCACACTCCCTTAGCTTTTTTGATCAAGGCTGGTGCTCTACCACTTGAATCATATTTCTACTTCTAGTTTTTTGTTGTTGTTAATTGGAGTTAAGAGTCCCTTAAACTTTCCTGCTATGGGCAGCTTCAGATTGGGATCATCTGATCTCAGCCTCCTGAGTAGCTGGGATTACAGGCGTGAGCCACCAGTTCTCTGTTCACCACATCTTTTCTGTGAATCAATTTTTAAAATTTTATTTTATTGTAAAGATGCTGTACAGAGAGGCTACAGCTACATGAGTAAGGCAATGAGTACATTTCTTGTTAAGCATTGCTTTTTTTTGTTTTGTTTTGTTTTGGGTCTGGTCATGGGGCCTGAACTTGGCCTGGGCGCTGTCCCTCAGCTCTTCAGCTCAAGGCTAGCGCTCTACCACTTGAGCCACAGCGCCACTTCCGGCTTTTTTCTTTTTGCTTATGTGTTGCTGAGGAATCGAACCCAGGGCCTCAAGCATGCAAAGCAAGTGCTCTACCACTGAACCACCTTCCCAGCCCTCTTGTTAAGCATTGTTACTCGCTCCCTTGTTTTCTCCAACTATTCCTTCCCTCCCCTATCTCCTTCACTTCCTCCCCCTCCTGAAATTATAAAGTTCATTTCCAACCATAGTGTCATGTTGGAACTCAACTATTGTGGCTTGTTCATGGCTGCTTTTGAGAATAGTGGAGGAGAGGAGAGTTAAATAATTACAAGAAAAATAATCTGATTTGTATCGTTAAAGGATTATTTAGCCCCTGAGCAAGTATCCAACCCCTAATCTCCTCAATCAACATCCTATAAACCCAAATGGAGGTAAATTATGTGTCTATAAATCAAACATCCATATGAATGGGGATGGGGGCACACATTGAGATAAAAATGTAGGTGATCAAAGAGTGGGCATAAAAATAGGGGATATATTTATTTTTATTTTTATGCCAGTCCTGGAGCTTAAACTTTGGGCATGAGAACTGTCCCTTAACTGTTTTGTTCAAGGCTGGCACTGTAACATGAGCCACAGCTCCACTACCAGCTTTCTTTAGTACTCAATTATAGAGAAGAGTCTCACAAACTTTTCTGCCTAGGCTGGCCTTGAACAGCAATTCTCAGATCTCAAGCCTCTTAAGTAGCTAGGATTGTAGGTATGGGCCACTAGTACCAGGCTATTTTACATTTATTAAATTTAGAATATCTGTGGAAAAGACAGAACTGTCCTGAGAAGTTTGAAATTCAGGAGAAAAGTGATATTAGAAATAGAATTGCAATAAACCCTTCACGTTGTGGTTAAGACCACAAAAGCATGCAAAGTTTTACTGGAGATTTTGCAAATGAAAAGGAGAAGATGGTCTAGTTACCACATTGGGGAATATACACAAGACAGAAAGAGGAATTGAATCCATTGATACAAATCAGAAAGAATATTCTAGACATTAATTAAGGGGCAGACCACATTGAAGTCAAGAGGGTAGAAGATTTTTGAAGTACACAATAATTATAGATCCAATGGGTCCTTAGAAAGTTCAAGTAAGATTGGTACAGAACAAGGAAGCACCTATTCATTTCTCCAGTTATGTGGTGTAGGAATCAAGGTCAGGACTCAAATGTGAATGTATTGATGAAGTGAGAAATAGAGAAAATACAGCTATTTTTTTGTAAAAGAAATGTCAGCAAAGGAGAAATCTGTGTTTAAGCGAGAGCTCCTACAGGTGGACCCATTGCAACAATGAGATGTACAAGTCATTATGTTGAAAAACGAACTTAACAACTTTGGTGGGGGGTCGGGGGAGGATCGGGTGGGGGAGGGGAGGAGTATGGGAAAGGATGGGAAGGGGAAACAACGAGGAGGCAACAATGCTTGATAAGAAATGTACTTGTTATCTTGCCCATGTAATTGTAACTCCTCTGTACAGTATTCTCACAATTAAAAAAAAAAGAGAGAGAGCTCCCTCCTAAAAGGAGGTTAGATAGGTGGGCATTTTATAGTCTTCCAGGGGAAGAGATAGGAGGGAAAGCAGAGAGGGTCATGTAATAAAGGTAGAAGGTCACAGAGGAAAAGAAAGAGAACTAGAGCCTGAGTAGAATGCTGGCCTTGGACTTGTAGAAGGGGACAATATGGAGTCTGAAGTTCACTTCCTGTGGATTCAATTTTTCAGCACAGCCAAAGGAAAATCTGGTTGTGTGATTTGAGGAGAGGGGCAGGCATTAAGTTAAAAATTAAGAAGAGGGCTAGAAACATGGCTAAACTGGTACAGAGCCAGCAGAGCAAGCAAGCAAGCAAGCATAAGATCCTGAGTTCAAACCCCAGTACTGCAGAGAGAGGGAATCAGGTGGACCAGGAGACAAACATAAACCATCAGTGTGGTATATAGGAGGTGACTTGAGGAGCCAGGAAAGTTCAAACTAGACATTTGGAGAGGAGATTACAAGTTACCCATGCATCACTGGTTGGAGGAATCTATATCCCTCCAAATCTAAAGTAGCCCTGAGTCTAAGCTTCTAATTATTAAGGACCTAGGTAAGCTCAACATAGCTGTTGATACAGAATCAGAGAAAGCTATTGACTGTATACGGGTTTGGCCATTTACAGAGTAGTTTAGCTGAGAATGCCAGCAAACATAAAGGCAGAGGCTGGAGGTGTAGCTTGTGGTAGAGTTCCCATCTAGCACAGATGAGGCTCTGCATTCCATCGCCAGTAGCACTCCTCCAAAAGAGAAAAGCAATGAAAAAAGGATATTTTTGATATGTTAACTGAACTGGCCAATTAATTTTCAGCTTATCTTCCTGATGTATATGCTTACAAACAAAACTTAAGGGTAATGACAAGGACAATGGAGTTGCACATCCGAAAGTAACACAAAGTCAAAGGCACAGAGTCCTAGGATTCAGGAGGCCCCTCAAAGTGAGAATTCAGAAAAGAAGCAGTCAGGTTTAGTAATTCCAGCACTGAGCAGGTTTAGTAATTCCAGCACTGAGCAGGCTGGACAAATGAGTTCAAGGCCAGCCTAGGCTGTGAATTAAGACTGCACTCCCCCAGAAAAAGAAAGTATCATTTAACTTTCTCCTCTTTAGTGTCTGGATCACAAATCACGTTCTGAAGCCTCCTGAATTTGGAGTTCCTGGCTTGTATAGTAATTCTTAATTCATCTGTCAAACATTGAGACTGTACTCTAAATCTACTTTTTCTTTCATAGTGGATCCCTAAAAAGATATGGTCCTTCCTCCTCCTTTTCATCCTCTCCCTGTCCAAAGTCTGATGTGGGAACTCCTATGTAAACCAACAACATAAGAGACAACCAGGGACTCTCCAGGTGTGGTACCCTGTCCAGTAGGGTCAGCACCTCAGGAGAAAATGCCAGCCACACATATTCACCAAGACACTGAGCTTTACAACTGAGTGGAGAACAGAAGCACGGGTTCAGCTGTCTCTGAAGTTGTCTCACCAGAAGTTTACAGCTTTTGAGTTCAAGCCCCAGTACCAG